CGTTTCGCCCAAAGGCCTCAAACCACTGGAAGTGTTGGCAGACGTGAGTAAAGACGTGGACTGTAAACGACTGATTGACAGTACGATCAGTGCATTCAAACGGTTGGATATTTTGGTGAACAACGCGGGCAGAGGTATGAGCTGTCCGATCACTGATACGGCTATTCTCGACAAATACCGGGAAGTGATGGACACAAACCTGCGTTCAGTCGTATATTTAACACATCTATCGGTCGAACACTTGGAGAAAACTAAAGGCAATATTATTAACATTTCGAGTGTTGCGGGAATTAAACCGGTAAATATTTTAATGCCATTGATTTCAGATTAATATATTCAAATGGTAAAACAAATTGTCAACATTATATTTAATCATGGTTCTTTTGTACCAACAAAAACAGGTGTCCACAGCGTTTCTGTACTGTATGTCAAAGTGTGCACTCGATATGTTCACCAAGTGTTTAGCCCTAGAATTGGGGCCCAAAGGGATTCGCGTTAATGTTATCAAGTATTTAATCATTTTAATAATGATTTGATTATAATAATTAACTATTATATGCGTTGTGTCAATTGTATAGTGCGGGTGCCGTCAGGACTAACTTTGGTCAGGCAATGGGCTATACCAAAGACGGATCGGAGGGCTATTATAGTAGATTGAGCGGCCAATACCCGGTCGGACGGGTCGGTGAGTCCATAGACATCGCGAACGCCATACTCTTCTTGGCCTCAGACGAGGCCTCGTTTGTGACGGGCGTTCAGTTTGTGTCCGACGGCGGGTCTCTTCACGCGCCCTTATAATTGGTTTATTATGCAATTTATTTATCACACAATAAATCATTGTATTTTACATTAATGATATATTTGTTTTATGTAATTAAATGCAAAACCTATGGAGCATGCACAATCATCAATTATGGATCCAATGTATGCCAATTGAACCCCAATAACACTCAACAATTAGAATAATTATTTAATAAGTATTTTTTTTAATAAATTGAATTGCTGTAATACATTTAAAAATTAGCTTTTAAGATCTATAACATTATACTGTTACAATCAATTATTTCAAATTGGCATAGATTTAATAAGTAATTTATCAAATGATTAATTAATTCTAACATTTTATACACATAGTCATTTAATACACATTTTAATTTGGATTTTAAAATTAGAATTGTTTTTAACCACAATTTTATATAAAGAATATAGTTTATAGGATCAACAGACACCCTACCCCCTCCCTTCTCCACCCTATGGTAAATAGCATGGAATTCCATGTTAATCCTATGGCTATACTTTAACATGGGGAGACTCTCATAGGTTTAACATGGGGACGCTTTAACATAGGTTTCTATGGGATTACAGCTAAAGTCTATCATATAAGTTTAACATGAATAATGTAAAGTCTATGGCATAAGGTTAACATGGGTAATGCTAAGTCTATGGCAATGTTAATCCTATAGGTAATGTTAAGTCTATGGGAGTAATGTTATTTCAATAGAACAATGCTTTTTCTATGAAGATATACTAAATAAATCTGACATAATAAATCGAACAACTTGTTGTCAAAAACATTTAAAATTCTCAAAACAGCAATATTCTAACAAAAGTAATAAAAAATTCAAAATCTTTGACGCATTTCCCGAATCGTGGTAAACGTATAGCATCTCTGTGTGATCCTTGTTTAATCATTTATTCATAAATAGTTGCATATGATAGTATCTGGTGCGTTAGTTAGTAGGTCAGAATATTCTCGATGGTTTTAAAACATGAGTTGTTCATTCAATATTGGATACAATATTTTGTGCAAATCATTTTCATAGTGCATAAACTAGTCCATGAGTAGCGTGACCAACTCCCGTTTTAGAAAAAGAGAATTTGCGGCTAATTTTCTCGTGATTTTGTCTTGGGAGGACAAATAGAGAACACATTTTTAACGACCTTTTTCACATGAAATTTTAACCTCAAATAGATTTTATCTTTAAAACTTTATATTGCTCAATTCTGCTCATTTAAATATAAATGATCACTAAATACAATAGATCAAAAATGAAAATGCAACTTGTAAATTATTATCACGTAAATTATTTGTCCTAGTTATGGTTTTCTTTACAAATATAGAATATATGAAATGACTGACAAACATTATATCATCAATGATTATTCATAAAGAGCTTAACTTTTTTTATTAGGCTTAATCATAACTATAAAAGTAATTTATACCATTGAATCAATTTTTAAAATTTTGAATATAATGAATGAAATAAACCTAATAAAAAAGTTTAGCTTTTTATGAATAATCATGAATCATTTATTTAACTTAAATTTAGTATAAAATATAGGTAAAAGTTACAGATTTTATTAAAAAAATGAAATAAAAAAAATTCAATAGTCATATTTAACCTCTTTAGAAAACAGCGGACACAAAGTCCAAATAGAGGATTTAGAGGATTGTCCTTTAAAATAGAGGACAGTTGGTCACGCTAGCCATAATGTTTGTAATAATTATGGTAAATTTGATTTTAGTTTTTGTAAAACAACTAAAGTATATTCATCTCAAATTATTTCACTCATAAACAGTAATAATGTCCACATCAAAGAATTTCTCGGATAAAGTAGTGCTGATCACCGGTTCGAGCGGTAATATCGGCGGCCGAACAGCTGTCGAGTTCGCCAGATATGGGGCTCAAGTGGTGATCACCGGTCGTAATGCCGACAACTTGTCAGAAGTGGCCAAACAATGTGCGGCCGTTTCGCCCAAAGGCCTGAAACCACTGGAAGTGTTGGCAGACGTGAGTAAAG